TAAGTCATCCGGCTATGCTTTGCTGGTTTTTCGGGTTCTGTGCAGTCCAGCTGCTGCACCACAAAATCCAGCTGGGTCCTTGTTGTCATCAGTGAGATCTGCGTGGTCAGACAACCTTATTATGAACAGTTGGGGCTTATAAATCTGTCATCTAATCTGTGATCCAAGAGCAAGGTGCCTGGGAACATCGAGTGGGATTTTATGGAGAAATAAGAGAAGTCAGTATCTCAATATCTGGAGTTTTAAAAGTTGTAAATTCAACTTGGGCGTAAAGCCCCACATAGAAAAATACCATCTAATGCAGCAGAAGATTATGCACAGTTATGTATCAAGCAGGCCTCTCATTAAATTAGATGACTCATATGTGGTTAGGGTCTCAGTTGAGTGTCTCAGATTCTGTTTTAATAATTTACGTATGGCATACCTGTTAGTGACGTACACAGCTCATGTCACAGTACTTAAAAATTATTTTCAATTACACCTTTGCAGTTGTTACAATTAGTCACAGATAAGTGGCAGTGTATCAGTGACTCACATCTAATGCCTTTGAGGTTGGAGGGATGGGCGGGGTGGAGCTGGCTGTGAGTAATAGAAGATTTGTTTTTGGATAATTGAATAGCTGGGTACCTATTACCGAATAAAATGTATAAATACAAGGTTGGAAAGAAATAACTCAGCGGAAATAAGTGAACATTAGCAGTGACAAAAGACTTCAGACATAGGCACCCTGCATCTCTCTGTGGTTATAAGTGACAATAAACATGAAGAACAAAACACAACGCTTCATCTGTCAATATCATTTGTCCCTAATGACTATGGTAATTATACGCCTAGTAAAATATGCACATACACTGTAGTAAATTGTGAGCATGACGTGTGACAGGCTCATGGTGTACATGATGGTCAGTCACGGGACATGACGTCACTACTCCTCATCCTAAAACCCTTTTTTCTTGTGATGTTAAAAGGGAACACAGTGCACATATATACAATATATAATAACATATAAGCCAAGCAGAAACAAGGTCATGTTTGGGTGAAATAACAGAATTTTAATTTTCCAATTTTTCATTTTCATACTCCATGTTCATGTTCATCCTACATAGTTCTTGGACTAACTAATTTGGAATTGCGACACAAAAACAATGCCGTTTCTTTATTGTAATCTATATTACACACACCAGCTGCTGAAGCTGATTTTTTTTTTGCCTGAGGCTTGTGAGCTTTAGCCTTTTAGTATGATATCATGTAGCCATCCAGTGCTAGTTAACTCCCTTTTCTCACTTTAAAGCTGGAAAGGAAATCGTGCCTTCAACAATCACATAGCAAATAAGCTATAGCTCAAGGGGTCAAAGGTCAAGGTTTACTTTTTACACAGCAATTATTTTACACAAATGGTTAATATTTTATGATTTTGGTTAAATAGGGATGTAATCTGAAACTAGTCTGAGTAGTGGAGACATACAACTGCAAGGCGGTAATTCTAGTTTTACATATATACTAAGTAAAAAGTAACAATACATATAGACTAAGACTACTGATTGTTGTTGTTGAACATATACATATAGCATATATGTATTGGCTAATTTATAATGTATTTACAGTTTCGTTATAGGTCCCTCTGAAATGAAAATTTATTTCCCTGTACTTCTTCGCTTCTACGCCAGTGAGTATTTCATTAATGTCCTGAATGTACAAAGTAAGGATGTAATGGATGTAATTTAAAGCCTCAGCAAGAATTTCTCCCTATCGATAAACCAATGAACTCGAGAAATGTCTCTACTCAAATGTTGACTTACAAGCCTTTTGTGAGCTTTGAATCACATAATTACCAAATGTCTTCCCTTAATGTCTTCCTTAGTAGATGAGGAGATAGGATGTTCTGTTTGTCAAACAACTGTCAAACTACCTGTGTGCTCAACCAGTCAGTTTCTTGCCAGGTGATTCGTCCGACACGTGAACAAACTTCTGCCGCGCAGTTCAGATGTTTACCTCCTCTGAGAGTTTTTTTACTGCTGTAGGACACCAACTGACACATACTGTATACCACCCCGCTTCAGTTCCTGCAATGTGAAGCAGAATTGTTTAACTTCAGTACGAGGCTCGACAGCATGGCACCGCTTCATAAACCACAGCTCCTCTTTGATGTGTTTTGTTTTTTATGGGCGAGGAAAGCCTCATGGGTTGGGCTCTTCCCCGCCTTCACCACTACCACCACCAACTCCTCCTCCTCCTCCTCCTCCTCCTCTTCCTCCTCCTTTAACCCAGCTGGCATCTGACTTTCAGCATACATTGACCAAAGGTTGGGTGAGCTCACCAAGTAGGAACGACATTAATGCGTGTACACAGTGTGTATGAGAACGTGACTGTACCTGCAAATCATTTACCAAGCGAGCGGAGGGTCATTTGAAAGAGAGAAAAGCCAAAGGGCAGTACTGTACGCTGAGCTGCACGTGACTCGGCTCTGCATGGGAAACATGAAGCTTGCTAACATGAAATTAGCTGTTACTATTTTCATTCTGCTTCGCCCTGAAGCAGCACAGGGCTGTTGGTTGTATACCCTCTGCCAGGAAAGTGGCTGTCAGTATGGCTCTTTGAGTCATATACACTTCAACTTCAGCTATTAACTTTCTGAATTGGTCTGAAGAGAGACAGAAATGACTGTCCTGACCAAAGGACCCCTCCCTGAGATGAATGATCCCCCTCATAGCAGGGAAACCTAAAAACAGCTACCCTGAATGAAAAATAAGTTCACTCAAAAGGCACTTTTTTTTCAAGGATATTGGCAATATCCTCAAAAAGCAAGATGTTACACACCAGCAAAGAGGAGTCACGCTGTGTCCATAAAACAGATGTTGTTTTCATTTTAAAGGGAAAAAAGTGCAGGGATAGAGTTGAGATTATATGTTGTAGGAAGACTTTGGCCAGCTATTGTACAGTAAGTGGAAAACAGGACTGTCCTCCTCAGGGACCTCTCAGTGACTTTGACATTAAAAGCCCATTTTCCTCTTCCCTAAATCCTGCTGCACTGAACATCATCCAAACTGCAAGCTAATGCTAACTCCTGGCATTGCTTCAAAGCAGGGCTGGTGTCTGCTTCACTTCCTCTGCCCCCCACTCCTCTGCTCCTTCACTCCTCTGCATCTTGAGAAGAGTAACAGTGGAGACTTTTAAGAGAAACGGGACAGAAACTGCTGCTTTCACCTCTGACCTGGATCTCAGTGACGGTGATGAAGTGGAAATAGAACAAATTAGCTACTTGTGGATTCATCAGATAGTGTGTCCAGAAGAAAAGTATAACTGGTAACACTTTATTTTACGGGTCCCATATTTTCCAGCTAATTGTCTGGAAACTGTAGTCAAAATTTCCTAATAATTATCTGGTATTTAGCTGTAAATTACGAGAATATTTTTCCAAGAAAAGCCCATGCAATTGCTACTAATTATAAGAGAAATGGAGAATGTGTAAGTTGCTACAGTCATGAAGTACCTGGTTATTTTTGAGTTTTCAAGAAGAAAATCGAAAATTATAAAGTAAGAAAGTAAAAACAGTTCATAGCCAGATGTCAATATCTCAAGTGGAGTTTCCTCCAAAGACAAACAAAGTTATTTATGTGGACTCTTCTTGACATTGAACGGTCATACATCATAGATTTTTTTTCGTTTGATTAGTGTTTGGTAATCAGTAATTGACATTAATGCTGCACATTGGTTGAATTGTCTCCTTACCTTAAGTTTCTTACACCTGAGATGAAGGTAACGGAACCATGTGCCCTCTCATTGAACTCTGCTTTGTAATTGTCTAGATCAGATTCAGGTGTAGAAACAGGGTCACTTGTGACTTCAGTGTCACACACTGTGTGGGAACTTATAGCGCTGAGTTTTAGACGGTTGTCTGCTCTGTATCTGTACACAACTGACCACAAAAGCACTCTTTTCACAGGTGCTTTGTTTTAGGTAACAGCTGGTAGTGGCAGAACAAACACCACAGACTCCTTCTGTAAGTTAACCAACGCTGCCTGGTTGGTATGTAGCCTATTATGGTGCCAGATTTACTTATTTAGTTACTCTGTTTTATCATACATCACAGGGACTGTAGGCCTGCGTTGGTGTTTTAACAGCTTCACTGGGGAGCTGTGACGGCTGCTGCTTTGCATATAGTCTGCGTTCCAGTTTAACTGGTGATCTTTCTTTACGTTTAACATTATCAGAACACACAACCGATGTTTGTAGTTGCAGATTTGTCATATCCATGAAAACTGTTTGGCGCCTAATGTTCTTGTCAAACCAACATGCTGGCTTTTGAAAGCATTGCATCAGAGAGAATATGTCAATACCTCATGTAAGTAAATATCAAAAAGAAGTTCAGTATCATTTATAATAATACATAATACAGCCTCACTGATTGCTCTATTTGTGAGAAACCTATTCTGCACCTACATGGGTTTGATGTGTTCAATACCCTGTTTAGACTGTTCAGTCTCATAAAACATGATCAAGTTATTTTTTGAAAACGCAAAGCTCAGAATAAAGTCTAATGGAAGAACTACAAAAATTTTCAGATGCAAAATATTATTGACAAAGATGCATTACTAAGATTAAAAAAAATATTATCTTCATTGTCTGCACTTGTAAGTGTAGTACTAAATATGACTTCTGTGACGTAGCAGACTGTTTCATTTCAGCCAATTTCCTATTATTTCATCACCATTTACTAAATACTTAAACATAATAAATGTATTAGATTGTTGTTCTCATGTAAAGTTTTGAGAGACTTGTACATTTCACAAAATTAACTTTTGTAAAAAAATACAATTATATATGATCTTACATATTAACATATCACTGAATAACCTGTAATGATGTTTTTAAAAAGTCCAATAAGGCAAAAGTTTGATGAATAAATACAGGCACTGGTTTACAGATATGGAGAGAATGGAATACCTGCTGTACTAAATATCAACAGGTAAAAAAAAAACTATAATATATGGTATTTTATTTCAATTAAGAAATTGACAAGCACTCATCAGTCAACATATTAAAACATTTGTGCCATCTGTGAAAACTCACACGACGGCTCCTTAAAATAAATACTTTTAAGAGGAAATAATACAGACAGAATATGTGAGGCTCAAACCACACGGACAAACAAATCATCCAAATGTCCAAGAGACGAAAGGGTCTGAAAGTTCCCAAAGTCAACCCCGACTCTCCAACGAAAAGTGTTTGTATAAAACAGCTAAGTATTTTTAAAAATACAGAATCTTACAAAAAAAGTTTTATCTTCTCACTTCTTTAAATCACTGTAAAATATCAGCTGGTATTATGACAAGAAATCAGGAATTTTTCCATGTATAGTAATAAAAAGACAGAATGTGCTTCTGCATTTTTACATTAGTATTCACATACATCATGAGTGTATTGTATCATCAAAGTCCTCCATCCCTCTGATGGTGCTGTGATGGAGACAGGTATATCACACAGGGCTGCTTCCCTCCAACCGACATCCTCGTCGTCACATTGTATGCCGAGCTGAAAATAGACACCGGTGATACCACCAGTGGTAACGGCAAAGGTGCAGTGCGTCCCAAGACACCGACATATATTGAAAAGACGGTGTCATTAACAGCCTCCGTGCACCATCCATAGCCCGGGCTATGTAAAACAATACACTTCACAGCCAAGTGTTCATTGTCTTTATAGGTTACATTACCAACAGTGTTCACATTTTTTGTATATAAAAACAAACAAACAAAAAAAACTTTTCTCTTTGACAATTTGTCAACTTTCAAATGGTCCAAAAAAAAGAGACAAAATAGCCATCAACGGGAGAGGATTTCAAGAATACAGGTTACAGTACAAAAATGTGGTCCAGGTGGTAGCACATGAAGCATGCATGTGTTTATGTTGCCCTGCTCACCCCTAAAACCCTCATGCGAAGACATACTGTATAAAAAGGCCACATGGCTTTTCCTTCACTATTAAATGCACGTGTACTGTGACAACTGGCCTCTTTGTCTGCTCATCTGAAGACCAACGAAAGGTGCTTTTTTTTTCTCTCCTACTGGCGGACACCACAATAGATACGAAGCCTCAAAGGGCCACTATGAAGTCTGTGTTTAGTACGTCGCCACGCTCCTGAAGCGCACAGACACGAGAGTGTTATCGATCTTCTCATCTAACTCTTGGTAAGAAAGCAAATAGGCGTATTCCCCCGAATATCAAACTAGTCTTTTAATTACGGAGCTTCAGCCTGCAGTCACTGGGCTTAGCTTAGCGTATAGACTGGAAACAGGGTGAAACAGCTAGCCTGGTTCTGTTAAGGTAAGGTAACAAAATCTGCCTACCAGCATCTCTAAAGTTCATTAGCTAACATGTTAAATCTTGTTTGTTGAACACGTATAAACTTTTGGATAGAGCAAGGCTAGCTGTATCCCCCTGTTTTTATGTCTTGCTATGCTAAAATATGCTAAGCTAAGCTAACTGACTGCAGGGCGTAGCTTCATATTTAACACACAGATATGAAAGTGGTGACGAACTTCTCAGTTCAAATGTGAAATTGTTCCTTTAAACCAAAAATCACCTGAAAACATCGACTCATAAGTAGTCTCTTACCAAGGGCTCTGTGTTTGTTAAGGGATCAGTGGGAGTATACTGTACGGGCATGTAAACAAAAGGCAGTTGGGCTTGAGCATGAGTCTGCAGAGCTCCCTCACTCCAGATAAAACAGGACGTCTCTAAACAGCCTTTAACTTTCTCTCTACTCTAAGTGCAGAGGCTTAGTGAGGCCCTTCACCCTTATTTTATATCGTTTCCATAATCTTTAGCATCTGTACTGCGGAAATAACAACAAAAATATAACTTAAGATAAACTCTCTAGGCACTGTTTGATTTCCAAGGCTTTGTGTTGTAGACTGTGATAAAAGGTCAGCAAACAGATTTAACAAAAAAAAAAAAAAAAAAAAAAAAAGTAATAGAAAGAAACAGAGAGTGATGGTTCTGCAGACCAAACACTTTCTCCTCTGTGATAGATCAAGTCCTCCGATTCAGCTCACACAGCCAAACAGACTTGCGTCAAGCTCTGTGGTGGAGAGGCTATAAGGGCAGAAAGTATCTAAAGGGTAAGTGTGTAGAAGTTTTCAAGGTTAAGTGTCACTTCAGTCTTTAACCTATCTTTCTCCTTCATAAAAAGAAAACAAAGCTCAGATCTTAAGCCATTATCTTCTGGGGAATCTCTATAGAAGCCTTGATGAAGATGCAGTTGTCTCGGATGTAGTTCCTCTTCTTGATCTCCTCGTGCGAGATGAACTTGGGGTAGCCAAAGCCAAGGGTGCTCTCGTCCAGCGAGTTGCGGCTGCTGCAGGGCTTCTGGAAGTTCTTCCAGTTGGGGTCGGGGTTGAAGGTCTCGGTGATGTGCTGGGGTTTGGAAAGCGACGGGTCACTCTGGTCCAGGATGGAGAAAGTCACCTTGTAGGAGAAGGGCCACTCCAGCAGGTTGTCGTATTCTCCGGGCAGCACGCGGATATAGACGGAGAGGTGGGAGCCCTCGCCGCTGCCGTTACCGTTCAGGAACGCCGACACCTGCAGCTTGTAGCCGTAGCGGTGAGTGTAAAAGGGCGGGCTGAAGAACTCGTGGTTGCTTCGGAGTTTGGCCTCCTGGAGTTTACGCGAGTAGTCGTTGAGTTTCCAGATGAGGACGCCGTCGTGACTGACGGACAGCTCCTCCATCTCCCTCCGCAGCTCCAGGATCTCCTGCCGCTGGCGACCCACCAGGTTACACATCATAGTCAGGTGAGACTTAGTGGTGTCTTCCAGGTGGCGGCCGATGGCCAGTTTGGGGCACTGCAGAGAGACAGCAGAGAGATTAAGTATGGAGAAGCTGCTGCACAGTAAAACTTTTCCAAACATACAGATTCTGCAAAATAACACCTGAGCATCATCAGTTTCATCCTCCTCTGCACAAATCATCTAGTGAAAGTTGATGAAAAGTTACTGAAGAGGACCATGGCTGAAAGTCTGAATATTGAACTTTAACCTACCTACATTCGAGTATTTTTTTAATCTCATAGACTATATTCTTACATTTTGGCAAATCTACATCATGGAAAGTGATGCTGCTTTGTGTGTTTTCAGTGTGTGTATGATGTGATGTCTGTATCTTTTGATTTGCCTGAAGTACGACTTTGACAGGAAGGGGTGTGACGTTGGTGCCAAATCGTGATAAGAAAAAATAGAAATATCATATTAGGATAATGTACTTGTATTTGTTTACATCTCTTGACGAAAGCGCACAGCTGAATATTGCATCCACAGATCAACTTGTGTTTATGAGTCTGCCATACACTGAACATGATGATGTGGACACTTGGATTATTGTATTTAATGGCCACGCTGCTATTCAAAAGACATGTTTTCACCATCTGTAAATGTTGTACGTCAAGCTTCCAGATGCTTTGTGATTCATAACAGAGCGCCGAGCAGAAAACAAAGAGAATGATGTGCCGCTCCTCCTCGAGCGTGTCCACATTTTCACAAATTGATGTCAGTTTCAAAAATAGACAGAAATGTGCAGTCCGAATACAGAAGTATTGCTCTCATTAAAATAGACCCTACAGGCACAGCACTGTATGTTTGAAAAGAAAGGAAAATCATTACACTGGACGCAGTGAGCGAGGATATGAAGGAAATATAAAGGAGAAAAATGCATGTAAACAACAAAGACAAACAGGCCTGGCAGTTGATTAGCATATATCAACAGCATCGTGAACAGCAAAGTTCCTCCAGAGGCAGAAATAATCTTCTAAGGTTAAATGATGCAGGTCAGTCATACTCTGTGTTTGCAGCCGGCGTCTTTGAAGGGACAGAGAACGAGCGCACTGCCGCAGTTGTCCTTCACATGGTTGGCCAGGTCCTCCCGGGCGATGTTGGGTGTACCGCACTGGTTTGGGCACTGGACAGGAAACCGAGGGCAGTGGTACTGGTGGTTCTGTAGAGGAGTCAGGGACAATGTGAATATGTAAATATGTGCACTGCTTAACCGATAGCATGAGTGATAAGAACACACACACACACACACTACACAGTGGGGCTGCAAATTCATGTTTGCACTGCTAAAAATATCCTTGAAAGTTAGAAAAAAAAAAAGAAAAAAAATACATGCGGTATTAAAAAGAGAGGAAAAAATAGACCAGGAAAAAATAGGGAACAAATAATCATGTAGCCCGAAGCCAGAGAAAATATTTGCCCCATGCTGACAATAACACGTGAAGAACAGGAAGTCATTGTAATAAAACACATCCAAGATGGACAGAAAATGAATCAGCAACTGATCATGTTTCAGTTCTTGCTTCATCCAGATATAAGAATATATGCTTCTGGTCCCTTTTTATATATTTTTTATAATATAATATTTTAATTTTAATTAGCAGTAAACTGAATATCTTTGATTAACTGGCTGAAAAAAAAAGCAATCTGAAGAGGTCACCTTGGGATCTGGGGAATTGTGATGGACAATTTTATCTGTTTTCTTGATGTTTGATGAAGCGATTAATCGAGAAAATAATCAGATTAATCAATAATGAAAAGGGGGTGGTAGCCAACGACCAAGTTATTACATCTACATCTCATCCAAAATGTGTGAGAGGAGAGAGAGACACTAACTTCTCAGCCTCTGGCCAGATGTGTGCAGAGGCAGGTGCTCTCACATAAAAAGCCCAGATGGCAAAACAGCAGCTCACACTAACATCCAGCTACCACAAAGGCAAAGACGCCACGAATGGTGCCGAACACAAACAACATGTCAAAAACAAAAGTTGTTGTGCATTTGGTCAATTTTGTGTGAAACTGACCTGGATTGTGTCAAACACAAACTCCTTGCCGCAGTACTTGCAGGGTTGTGTGCGTTTGGGACACTCGGCCATGCTGTGTTGGGACAGCAGACGACGCATCATCCTCGCCCCACACTTGTTCTCACAGTAAACACTCTCCTGAGGACACACACCCTGGTGGTTCTGGGACAGAGAAGAGAGGTGATCACAATTTAGAGCAGGGTCATAAAATCAAGCGTCAAGCAAACACTGTAGATACAGTAGGTGTTACCGATTACCCAAATGCAGTTTATATACTTCAGGTTTCATAGCTCAAAACTGCATTTTAATAACAAAATATATACAATGTTTGTGAGAGCAGTGGGGCTGCAGTACAGGTTTTGACCTGTCTTTGAGAAACATGAGTACATACAGTAAGAAAGAACACATTTGCAAATATAAAGTGAGAACAAAATAATAATACACTTGAATGGCACCCAGTGGAGTAAATATCTAAACCAAGGCCAAACAATCCCACACATTCGCACCAATCTTCACAAACTCATTCAGGACAACATTTTTTAACATCAAGATCCACATTCTTTTCTAAGAAAATGCTGAAAGTGTCAAAAAATGCCCTCTGTGGCAATACTTATTCTATTTATTGTTGTTGAAATGACTGTGACAATTTAAAATTGAAATTAGCATTTTTCTTACTACTTTTTTATTGACTAAATAAAATTGGAAAAATAATCTTCAGATTAATCAATGAATGAAAATGATCGTTAGTTGCAGATTTACACAGGTATCATTTTGGTTTTGAATGTGTAATTCCAATGTGAAAGCCAAAAGGTGGATTAATGCCCCGGTAACTGTGTGCAGAGGGGAGACCAGGAGGGCCAGAGTAAACAGAGGAGGGGCAGGTTGGTAGAAATGACTGAGGTGTTCGTGAGGAGACTCTGAGGAAAACACACCGAGTATGAAAGACCCAGTCAAAGCTTCTTTCCCTCTGCCAACACACGTGTTATTTCAAAATAGACCGACACACGTGTGCATTGGTCTTTCCTGCTGCTTTTCACAAAGACAGCTTTCATTTAGGCATGGAAATGATGTGCCTTCACTCTGGGTTGTTTACATCAATCTTCCGCTGAGTTCTAACAGGAAAAAACAACAAAAGGAAATACAAACAGGTCTGGAGTGGGTGTTTACCTCATAGGCTTCACCGGTGAACTCGCTGCCACAAAACTCGCACTTGACCTTACGCTTGGGGCAGTCGTGCTGCAGGTGGTCGGGCAAGTCGCGGCGCGTCAGCTTGACGGAGCAGCGATTGGGGCAGGGTATCACATTGAAGGCGCAGGTGGAGAAGTGGCCCTGAGGCAGACACAACGACAGAGAGGCGATGTGTCATCAGACTCAAGCAAACACACAGCCACATGTTGGCCAGGCAGAAAACAACAAGAGGGGGGAAGGGAGGGAGGGGGCTGCAGATCAGAGTGTTTGATAAGGCAGTAGAAGGAAAAAGGAAAAAAAAGAAAAAACATGGAGGGGAAGCAGATGAGGGGAAAGCTAGAGAGCATATCGAAGCTTCTCACCTGCAGTTGCTTCATCTGGCCGGTCCAGCGGCAGCCCTCCTCACTGTGGATGCAGCGGATGGGCAGAGCCAGGATCTGCTGCTCCAGCTCTGGATCTGGGTAGATCTGAGGAGGAAAAGCAGGATGGGATCACAAGGTGTTAGAGGAGCTGACCAGGTCGTGCTGGAAGACTGTAATATACCACTATTATACAGCAAAGGTGTGTATAACTTGGGTCTGACATGTGCATAAAACACACATCTCCAAAAAAAATTTTCTTCTTCTCCTTTGCGCTAAGTAAACCATTTAAAGACCCGCTGGACTAGCTGAAACAAGCAAATTCATCATGCTGAAAACATGGCTTTCTCCTTTGTTTTTAAAGAAGTTGACACATGCATATAAAGCTACATGGTCTTCATGTGACAGTGACACAGAATTTGGTCCAACAGACGGGGTCGAGGCATTTTTAAACTTCTGAGCTGTTTTCCCGCCTTTACGCCAGGCTTGGCTAAACACATCCTCCATCCCTCCAGCTATGCACCTCATGAGTTCAGATTGGTATCCGTTGTTGCATCTTGGAAAGAAAACAAATAAGCATCTTTTCCAAAATGTTGAACTCTTCCTTTAAAACATTTTTACAATGACAGGAACATGATGATTTCTGCATCATATCATATAAAACCGAATTTTGAGCTGCAGGAAGAAACTTTCATCCAAACGACTGGGAAGTCAAACTATTGTGAGATTGTGTTATAAAACTGCAGCAGTGAGTCAACGCAGTGACTGCAGTGACAATGCGTTACTTTATGGGTTTATGGGACCTTTGAGAGAGACAGAGAGAAAAAGAGAGAGAGCAGAGGAAAAAGATTTATTTTTCCTCGGTCTCTGAGCGATGGGGATGAGTCAGTTTCCTGCCCAAACACCCCAAATCCTCCCCTGTAGTCCGCTGTCCTGAGGATTTACAGCCTTGCTCGCCGTCTCCATCCCCCATCGCTGTCACACGAGCAGAGCACTGGTCAAACAAGAAAAGCCACTTCCTCAAAATGTCACAACAGCCCTCTAAACAAACAACAGCTCGGTACCAGCTCGCCTGTGCTCACGTGCCTCTGCAGCCAAGCATGGCAACCATCGCCATCAAATGAAAACTTCATTTGGACAGTCAGAAAAGTATACTTGTTAATTATGCTCTAATGTTTTTTAGTAGAGCGCAGATATATCTAACATTGAAACACATGCTTGACTTCTGCTGTATGCCACTTAGACAGTGGGACCAGACGGTATCTCGCTGCCATAATCACATTCTTTGAGGAGAAACAGAGGGAAGAAAATCCTCTAAAGCAAACTGAAACACTCTCTCATTGTTCCAGTCTTGGAATCTGCAGGGAGACGGCAATAATGACCTTTTAATAACTTAGTTGCAGCCAGATCAGGGGGGTTAAGCTGTTTGGAGCTCTAACTTAGGGGTTTATTCTGTCTGCCTTAGCCTTTGTTAGTCCCACACTACTATTACTTCTACTACAGCAGCGGCAGCAAGACAATCCTTTAATGATGGCAACACTCTTGTTCTGTTGGAGCAAGGTTGTACTTGTGCATGTTTGTTTTTTTTTTTTTTTTTGAAGGACAGTGCGCAGCGAGCATCACAATAACCCTGACAGAAGACCACCAGCGAGGGGTAATTTGCAGGCGACTGGGATCCTGTGAGGGCCTTGGTAAATAACAACGTCTGACAGGTGCGCCATGAGCACATCCTTCCCGTGGAGAGACCCTGCTATTACAGGCGCCTTTATCGCTCGCAGCGCAGCATGCAGAACTGCGCCGCCGCCCCGCTGATCCTGCTGCAGCTCTGGGTGAACGGCTCAGTGGCCGATTCAGGCTAACGCTAACGAACTGCATGGGAGAATTACATGCAGCGGCCTACTTTCAACCAGTGCCAAAAGCTGCACACAAAAAGAGACAATCATTTACTGTCTGCTGATAGGTTTTAAAGTCTCTCATGCATAGTTCAGAGGGATAACACGAGTGAGAGACACCCTCTGACTCTGAATACAGTTAGTCATTATCCCCCCTCTCCACCCCGAGCGCAATCTGATTAACTGCCTTTAAAAAACAAGGAGAAGAAGAGTTCAGGTGAAATTTGGCTATAGTTTTCTTTCTCTGGACAGGGAGAGACTAACGACTAAAAATGTAACGGCTTTAATAAACTGTCCTCCATATTTCTATCCAATCAAACTGACTGACTCAGGCTGCTCTCCCACTGTAATGAAATGAAATGCAACTTCTGACTTTGGGGTAAGATGAGGACTATTTATCCTTTGTTATCCCGAGATCCACCGGCACAAATGTTCAGTTTTTATTTTAACATTTTAAAGTCAAAGTCACCATCCTAAAATGGTTTCTCTCTTGAAGTCTGACAATTTGCATCTCAGATCTAATGTTGCGGGATTATATTTATGTAGCTCTCTGAGCTACTCTCCTCTCTGATTTGCATTTTTTCCAGGTTGGACCAGTGAACACAAGATTATTTACATTTTGCAGCAGCCTAACATCTTTTAAGAAAAGCCTTTTCTTAAATTTGAGAAATTTTTTAAGCTGTTTTGGTTTTATTTTTATATGTTCCTCATTGTTTGACAGCTTTATTTTGGGTTCTACTTTTGAATCGTTCTGGTATTGTAATTATTTTATATTTTTAGCTGTCTCTGCTGTAGGGATGGCAATATCGTGTCCATCGTTTGATCCACCACTTTAGTCCAGACTGAAATATCCCAACATTTACTGGTTGGACTGTAATGAAACAAACTTTCAATGTCCCCAGAAGATGACCCTACTGATTTTGGTGATCCCTGACTTTTTCTGTCTCTGTCTTTTAATTTAGCGCCATAACAAGGTCAACATTTGAATTTTTCCAATACTCTGATTCATGATAAATACCAGCAAAACTAATGCCCATCAGCCTCTGCTCTACTTTGCTAAACTAAGAGAGTGCAGATGGTGAACATTATACCTGGTAAACATCAGCATGTTAGCATTGCCACTGTGAGCACGTTACACAGCTGTGCTTCATGGAGCATGGCTGTCGACCTCTTATTATTTATTATTTCTTACTCTGTTGTTTTATTGTTAAGGAAAGTCCTGAATAACATTGTTTGGAGGAATATAATTCAGTTTATGTAAGTTATATATTCCATCAAAAGTGTGCTGAGTGTGTTATCTCACCTTGGCATAGTCCAACGGCAGCTGATCCTCTGGACACTTGAAGACGCCCTCACTGCAACAAAGCAGCAGAAAAAAGTTGGTTATTATTGGAATCACTCAGAAAAAAAGTAAGTAAGTATATATATAAATATAAGAACATGTCTACAAAGACAATCAGACCTTTTTTAAAATCACATTCAGCGCTCAGTGAGATTACTAACTCTGACCCTGACTGGGAACAACCAGACCTAAAAGGCTCTGGGAGCAGTGCTGCTCTGCCTTTAGTTTTATTCTGTCTCTTCAAACACGCTCTTAATCGGAGAAGTTCTCTGACTCATCACACTGTATGACGTGCAAACACATTAAAGTTAGATCTTTGAGCCACTGGCTTTAATGACATTAGCTCTTTCATCTTCTCCCCCTTAGAGTACACGTCTGCACAGACTTTTATTAGTACAGCGAAAAAAAAAACTACAAGTTGGCGCCTGATCTGTTTATCTATAATACATTAAGGTATGATTGTAGACTCCACTTCACAGCTACTTTTACTGCTTCTCTCACAGCTTAGAGTGTTGAATTTTTTTGCCATTGTTTCACAGTCTAGATAACAGTGTGCTAGTTTCAACAGGCTTCTGTTTTCCTGGGAATAAAGCAGTGTAAACCTGGCCTTCATGCTCGAGGCTCTTCCTCAGGAGAAACAGACGATTTGCTGATCTGCTAGTGCAGTAGCGAGACAAGTTTTTGTTCTTTTCCTTACTTCTCTCCTGCAGCAGTTTAACCCAAAATAAAACCTGAACTCTTGTTTTACTACAGGCCCCCGTGCAGTTTTTGTGGCGCCACAGAGGAGCCCTCAGTGGCCTGTTTTAGGGCCAAATGAGCGAGTGCCATGGCTCATTAGGGCAGCCCTCTCTCCCAAAGTCCCTACCCTGATGTCATCATAAAATATTCACACTTGTAAATAATGGAGGCAGCAGCCACGAGGGGTGAGGTGCTACACAGAATCTACGCTTACGACTGCACGGCAACAACATCCAGACACACAAAGGTTACTTAAAAAAAAAAAAAAAAAAAAAACTGAAAAGGCAATTGGTGCCATATCTCTCGTCAGTGAGCCATCCTGCTCTTGCTACTTTTCTGTTTTATGTGATTGTAAAAAAAGTCTAGTTTGACAGCAAATGAGTTTTTCGGCCCCTTTAATAAAAATAAAAGACAGATTATAAATGCCTTGTTTTGTCCGACAGAGAGTCTAAAACCCATAGATAGGCAGATAGATAATAAGATGTAGATAGATAGAAGCTATAGACAACAAAGATGCACAGAAACGTGTTTAAAAGTCACCAGCCCTGAAGCTTGATCTGACCTCCCGTGCAAAGAGGCCTCTGATAACCAAGACCATGTCTAAATTATGTTTACACTAATTAAGGGATGACAGTATACAAACAGAAGTGTTTGCCTCTTGGTGCTTTCATCTGGTTGGCTGCTGTGTCACCTGACCGCAGCTCCCAGAGGCACGGGGACATGTGACAGGGCGGCTGTGCATGTGCACTTCTCTCCGTCTACCCAGCTGCTGAGAAACCATGGAGTATGCTGAAGGGGGGGATGGGAGCAGAGGTTAGGCCTGAGAGGGAGGAGGGGTTGATAAAGGGGGTGTGTGGGGGGGAGGGGGGTTAATGCATGACGAGACAGCAGTAATTCTCCTCCATTAGGGTCACTGTGTCAGCAGGGAGCTGGATACCAATTAACAAGCCACAACGGGCTGTAAAAGAGGGTCAATCGATTAGAGGCTCGGAGAGCCCAGTCAGCATCTCATGTGTAGTGTGAAATCATTTACAGTGCTCATCGCCATCACAGAGGAATCATCTCACGCTGTGGAGGGAAAAGTATACAGCACACTGCCTGCAACAGTGAGAGATGGGAAGCGACAGGCTCTCAGCTCAGGACAGGGGACAGCCAGAGGCCCCCGTCCAGCTCGGGCCCCCGTATCTGACGCACAGAGAGGCAGACAGGCGAAAAGAGCCTAGTCACAGACTGTCAGGATAATTCATTCTGTGGTCGCAGAGAAGCTCCTGCAGCCACACAGTCATGTGTTCGGCCCCACTGCTGATAATACCGCTCCGCTCTCTTGGCCTCTCGTGAGCCCAACTCGCTGCCGCTTTGTGACAGCACATTAGCAGAGAAAGGTAGGGCCGATACAACACAGATCTAGTCCAATTCTGTCCATCTTCACCGACGAACAATTTCAACTCTGACTAGTGAAGCGCTTTCAGGAAGAGACAAGCGAGCATGTCACAAAAAAACTGAATATCACAAATATAAATGATTGATCAATCAATTTTTTTGTTTTTTCAAATCAATCGGTTGTTTGTTAAAATGTCAGAAAAAAAGCAGCAAATATTAGCATGCTAACATGTTAAACTAAGCTGTTATGATTGCGAGAATGCATGCTAATGTTAGCATCTAGCTTTGAGTATACCCTCAGTGAGCTGCTGGCATGGCTGTAGAGTGTTGTCACTTGATGAAATGATTGATAGATTATTAAAACTGATACTAATAAATTTTTCTATTGATTATCAAGAGAGTGATGATTATTGTAAGAGATACTTACAACAAGTCCTACGAGCTGAACTGCTGCTCTTTATATTATAGATTACTTTATTATAGATAACTATAGATTACAGATTTGAGGCCAACATTGGCTGAGTCACTTGTGAATTAATAAACTGATTAATACATTAGCTGAACAACATAAAATAACATTGATAATTGATTCTATTTACATGAATAGAAACTGAATAGTTTTTGGTTTGGGAACAAAAAAAACAAAACAGATATGAAGACATCATCTTGGACTGTGGGAAATTCCAAGGAGCATTTTTCACCATTATTTGGACTAAACGATTAATAGATTATTCATAAAAAACAATAGAGATCTTAATCAGTAGGTTAGGTGCGGCCCTAGTACAGTTGGTAAAGGATAAACATAACTGTTACTCGAAGCCCATAGGGAAAACTCCTTTGTGTACAACTCTGCAAGCGGGAACTTGCACCTCACAAACAGTCAGCCTCCTCTAAAACAAGTTTCTCACAAATATTTGTTTATCACAGATTCCTGGCCACAGTTCACAGCCTAGTCAATGATCATCCAGGGTGACAGGTTGGTAAATAAAGTGTTTCACTGTTGGGATGTCACAGGGGAGCAGTTTAAGACTGGACAGCATACAGTATAATACAATCACCTCATTAAAATTTCATTGCCTCCTCGTACCGTGAGAGCAGAGGAGGCTCTGCAGCTGCTCTGCTGCAGAGATGATCATGTTTAAATCACCTCAAATGCACTGCCAGACAGGGGTATAAACATTATTGCATTGTGTTCGCTTGTAGAAAACACTTTCGCCCCTCTGCAGGTGAAATGCCTAGTGGGTGCATTTCACCTGCAAAGGGGCGAAAACCCATCATTGCCGTGGACCATAAATCCCTCTGCCCTCTAATTGCCCCATCTCCTCCCTGTCCTAAAATCTTTTTTTCAGGCGCAGATTAAACAGCCATCCATTCATCCAGCTGATACCACGAGGACAGCCGTCACAACATGCTTCGTCACTCTGCGCACGGCTCCTGACAGGCAGACGGTGAGAAGTACAAATCCCTCAGGTTTAATCTCACCGGTGCAGAGCGGAGGGGTGTTTTTCAAGCGACAGTGACCGGGCTGCAGGCCACACAGTGAGGACATGTTGGTGACAGGCTGCCTCCTCACTAACCAGGACCACTGAGTAACCTTGAAACCTAACAGGGAGACTCCTAAACAAACCTCCCTATGTTTGCAAAGGTAGCTAGCAGGACAGTTGAGACACACTAAACAAACTAAATCAAAAGCACTAGGGCTTTGGAGAGTACACGTCTGTGGCACATTAACACTCTAAACTGACCTTTGTCCCACCAGGTGTTTTCTCATTGACTCTGATAGAAACAGGAGCCTTGAGTGAACTCCCCGCTCGTCTCCGGCTGGAGCTCACTACCAGCTTTTATGTTCATCCTCACGCTAAACCCCTTTTGTCTTTTCAAGTTATAACCAGGATAAACTTTTATATACACAAACAAACCCTTCAATTCCTCCAGTGCCCTCTGTGCAGGCTTTCGGTCTCACAGCTGAAACCAAACTCCCTCTGTCTCCTCTCAGGAAGTAGAGAGAAAACAGGAATTCTGTTTTATCTCAGATAGAGTTCCTATAATCCCCCAAATCCATCTGGTTTGGGGTTTATGTGTTTAAGACTGTGTGCAGTCATGACTTCCTTCTTCTCAGCCTACTAGTTTGAACAGCAATGAATACAGACATTATAGTGTGTGACTGATATTTTTCCATGTATCATCAGTCTGTGATACCCAATTTATTCCATATTTCATTTGGCTTCATCTGCAACAATTAGCTGATTGATTAGTCAATCGTCAGAATGTTTATTGTTTAAGTCATTTTTCAAACAAAACCACCAACACTTACAGTTCTAGCTCCTCAAATCGGCTGCTTTTCCTTACTTTACATTATAGTAAATAGTATTTACAAATAATATTTTTGAGTTTTGGACCGCTGCTTGGACAAAGCAAAACATTTGCTAATGTTACCTTGATATTTAGAAAAGTTTTCACTTGCATTCACAAGGGTTTTTACTGACTTCTGGTGTTTTACAGTTGCAGCCCTACAGTTGACAATTTCTTCTTAGGAGTATAAAGGGAAACACACTTCCATAAAAATAAAAAATAAAATCACCTAAACATGCAAGGTATAACTTGTTAATTACTGAGCTTCAGACATGCTGGTAGTTGGATTTCGTTACCTTTGGACAGACCCACGCTGGCTGTTTCCCTCCAGTCTTTGTGTTAAACTAAGCTCACAGCTGCAATGGCTGCCAGCCACATGCATGGGACATGCTTCAGTTTCCCAACTGAATAAATTAAATGATGTTTAAATTTGAGGAAATGCTGATTAGTTAAGTCCACCTGAATTTAACTTGTACTATGTTGCCATATGTTATCAGATTTTGAAACCAGATTGTGTCCCAGTTCCACACATATACCACTACT